CGGCGGCGGCGGCGGCGGCAACGACGACTCGAGGTAGTGCGGGAGAAGGGGAGCGCCGAGTCGGGCTGGGTGGGGATAATGGGTTTGTTTTTCTTACTGTCGTCGGGCTCGCCGGAGGCAAGGGGGAGAAGAGTTTTCCCATGGGTGTATAAGGACTGAGGGCACGTGTGGAAAGATTCCCCTCCCCGCCCCATATGTGGGAGGGAAAGCTGTGTGATTGGCGGGGTTGGGGGGGTCTGTTCTGGGAGAAGACTTGGGGTATTTGGGGGGCACACATTTCGATGGCGATACTAATTAAAGTGCAGCACGTATTGACCCTTGGCTGATGTAGAGAACTGAGTTGGACCTAATTAGTACTTGGATGGGAGACCACCAGGAAATCCTTAGGCTGTTGGCTGGCCTGGGAAATCGAAAAAAACGTCCTGGAAGAAGGCAGTGGCAAACTACTTCTATACTGTTGACAAGAAACTACATGGACTCTCAATGAAGTCACCAGGAGCGTCAAGCACAACTTAAAAGAAACTTTTTCTTAAATACCTATCGATTTCAGTGGTGCTGTGATTCTTATTTGTTCACCACCGGTGGCTGGGAGGGGGGAAAGTGCAATTCGGATGCCAGAAGTTCTTGAGTTGAAGCTTGTTGTGTGATCATTCCTGGTTAGTATGTTTTTCTTTAGGATTTTCTGTTGGGAGTTTTTAGTTGTATGATGTTATATGCACCTTTCTGAGCTCTTCAAAGAGGGAAGATGATATACTATACTATTCCCTTTTCAATCAGTAATTGATATATGTTGAGAAATAACTATTCTACATAATGTAAAAGAAGGTGGGTTCTTGTGGAAGAAAAATGAGCATTGGTGGAATTTTATTTATGCAATCCCCACCTCAGTCTGGAGGGACTTTAGGCAGGTTTTAATAATTATGGTATTTAAACAGTACTTGTTAATACTTGTTTTCTTGACACCTTGAAAAAACATTTTAAAGAAATATCTGAGAATATTTTTAACAACTGCTTCTAATATTAGTTATTAATAGTGTTTCTTTTTTAAGTTAAGAGCATTTTATTACCAGGAAAGGGAATAGAATACTGTAGCTTTGAAATTTAAAGTTGAGGGGGTGCATGGCTTAAAACTTAAAAATGACCATACCATGCTTTAAAGTATTCATACAGAATGAAGGGAATTACAGGAGGACTGTGCCCAATTTGGGGAAATGTAGATTGGAGGAATTTTGATAAACATTGATTTCAGTACTTTGCATGGTAAGTTAATACTAGATTCCAGGTGAAAAAATTATGGGATAAATAAAACCAAATATGAAAGTGTACATTTCTTAATCACATTTCTGAGTCAATGAATTAAATTAAATTGTAGGAACATTAAAAAAAATCAATTTGATGCAGTCAGCTAATCCATAAATGGTTAAACCTAACTTAAAACTGGCCT